AGTTTTTATATAGTACAATATAAAATAAATAGTTATAGTTTAATTATAGAATTTTTAGAATTTAGAGTAAATTTCACATTTATACAAACATTATACAACATAAATCGTGCTCCTTTTTGTACAGATACAATAAAATATATTTAAGTCTTTACACGGCCGCATTTGCTCCGTGGATTTCTGTGTTTTTTTTGTTTGTTTGTTTTGTTTAAATAAGAAGTTTTATACTCTAATATATCATAAATTGTTATGTACCAGTTAGAATCGTTAGCTCATTTGGTGTTCCACTCAAAGTCCAGTAATGTGCAGGACAGAGTTTGTGAAATGTAAGGCAATAAGGCAAATCAAAATAAAACAATAAATCAATAACAAATCAAACCAAGTATATTTATATAGAACATTTGAAAACATTTTTAATCAAGACTTTACCGTGCTTCACATGTTGCAAGACAGGAAACAACACAACAAACAGGACAACAGCTTCTAAGATCAATTTCTGAACTAAAATAGATATGAAATACTGAAATATTTAGAACACTAAGAGCAACCAAATGCCACTGAAAACATGTATGTATTGAGATTTTCTTTAAAATTTCACTTTACGAGGACCTTTTGAATAAAATGTAAGACAATAGGATAATTCAATGTGAAATCTATTGAGACAACATACAAAAGATACAGAAGACAATGTGACATATTAACAATATTTTAAAAGTAAAACAACAACAACAACAACAACAACAACAACAAAACCACAATGATTTAAATAGACTCAGAAGTCAAAACTACAATTCAGTTACCCTTCAGTGCATTAGTGTCCCAAATGTAATAACAACAGTGGAAGACAGGAAATTGTTAAGTCTCTGTTCCCAGATACAGCATGTGGATCCATGGAAATTACATTTAGTGCAATATGTACTGAATATACACCATAAAATATCAGTCCACAGTAATTCACTGTTATATTACAAACATGTTGTTGTGTACAGTAGAATAATGTGCTGGACAGAGTTTGCACAGATTAAAATAGAATAGCTGCGATGTAATCTAACAGTTTCTCTGCAGATGGAGCTATTCAACAATATTCTTCGACAGCTTGCATTTATGTCGTTATATGAGACGCGCTTTATTAGCTTTGTGCTTGTCAACATTATTCAGCCAAATAATATAATAACTTACATTACCTTACATTATTACTCTTGTGGATAATTTGTACATGTAGTATTTACAATAGTTCCTTTGATTGGTGAACTTTAAATATTCAACTACTGCGCTAAAATGAAATTTTCACTTTTTTTTCTTATGCACTCCATCAACTAGTATTTCTTCATTTTAATCACTTATACTTCTACACTTACTTGTACTGTTAGGCCACTATATTTTTATGAGAAATATTTTACTTTTTACTCAACTTCATATATTTGAGAGCTGCTCTGAAAACCAAGTTTTTATATAAAAGTTATGACCACACTATTGCACTTTCCTTTGATACATTAAATACATTTTCCAGCTAATAATTTTGAACTCAAGTTAAAATATGAGTAAAGAACTTGTACTTGTACAGCATTTTTATAGTGAGGTATTGATAAAATATCTCCATATTTCTTCCGCAACTGTTAAAATGCACAGGACAATATTGAATTTATCCAACTTTGAGATGACATTGTTCTCTCAGTACTCAAGTACTTCAAGCTTTGTGTAGCTTGTGTTTGAGCATTTTACTTTTTTTACATTTTACCTTTCTTCATTGCATATTAGATGCAAACATTGTCCTTTTTGCTCTGCTGCATTTGTTGCACTATTAGAGTTACTGATTCTTTGCAATTTATGATTTCACACAAAAATCTTTGATCGTTATGTAAACTGTGATGCATTGCTTTAGAGTAAACTACCTCAAAATACATTAACAAGTCAGTAATCTTCCAGTTTTCACAGCATGTATTAGCTAAGACCTTTTCAGATTTGTTTTGAGCTCCTATATATAACAGGGAGCACCGAACAACAGTTTTAGCCTTATTAATAATTCATATAGCCCTAAACCACTTTGCTCACTCACTTTACTTACATGCAGTTATGTCTAGCTCTTTTATGATATATGTTTGGCCTTAATGACATTTGTATTCTGCCTCGTCATAGTTCCTGTCTTGTATTGATCTTGGAAGAAATGCCGTTTCATCCCACGGTGCACCTTGTGTGTAGAGTTGAGATGACAACAAAGCTGAGTTGTGAACTTGAGAACTTGAGAGACCACATGACACACTGGTTTATTTATGTATTAATAACGTATTCTTATATGTTAAAATTAAAGTGCAATAGATACTTTATGGACTGCCGACCAGTTCTGAAGACTTCCATTATTTATTTAAGGAATTAAGAAGTCATTAATATTTAATCTTTACTGATCTTCTAATAACGTCCAATACAATAACCGTAAAAGTGATAATAAAAAAAATCTCCTCCTCACACCTACTTGACAGGGGTGCAGTGTGCCTTCCTAAAGCTTGGGTGGTCCTGGGAGTTTGAGGGTTCTGCGTCCTATCTTAGCTGTTCCTAGGACTGCAGTCTTCCGGATAAAGAGAGACCTCAGATGTTGTATTTGGAATCTGTTGGAGGCCCTCCTATTTGTGGGTCACTGACCCTAATGCTCCCAATAACACTGGAGCCGCCTTGGCTTTCACCTTCCACATCTGTTCCAGTTGTTCCTTCAGCCTCTGGTACTTTCTGATCTAATCATGCTCTCTTCTCCTGATGTAATGTTAGTCTCATCTGGGATTCCCACCACATCGACCTCAGCTTCTGCTCCTCCATGCTACTAGGATGAATATACAGTTGAAACCAGAAGTTTACATACACTGTATAAAAAGACACTATTTGACATTAAATCAGACTAAACTTTTCCTGTTTTAGGTCAGTGAGGAAAACCATTTTTTTTTTTCTATTTGCTAAACACCAGAATGTTATACAGTGTATGTAAACCTCTGGTTTTAACTGTATATATATATGTATGCATATATTCATGTATATATGTATGTGTGTGTGTGTGTGTGTGTGTACATATGCGTGTATATATATATAGATATAGATATAGATATGGATATATATACATATACACACACACAGTTAAAACCAGATATATATATATATATATATCAAGAAAAATACACACACACCAACACGAGACACACATATACATACACACACACACTGGGATGTATATATCTGTGGTGTTGTCGGGTTGTAACTTCAGTTCTAAATTATTCAGGTTGATCTCCATAATTGATAATACTGTAGGATCTTGGCCTTAATATTGATAAGGGTTAGGCAGTGTTTTAACCTTAATATTTAAATTACTTTGGTAAATTTGCACTATAAATACCACTGTAGAGTCTTATCCTTAATATTTAACTTGTTGGATTATTTTCTAAAGCCAATCTTAATTCATTATTGAATAGGGCTTACATGTGCAATATAAATAACAGGGCCTTACCACTTTTAATTTAAAGATTTTTTCATCATATTTGTGCAATCCTATGGAAGTAGTCACATTTTAACTCATAAACTAAGCGTTTTATACTGTGTTATTGGTCCATTTTTCACTATAGACTCCTCGTGGTCTTGGCAAAAACAGATGTATATCCTCAAACACAAAAGAAAGGACGATTTTTATTTTTATTTTTTAATTTTAAATCTAAACTCAAACGATGTAAACATGACACCGTCTATCATAATGTGACCGTGTGAATGTGACAGCTGTTAAAAAACACACACACGGATTTGGCGTTGCGTCTACTGCGCCTGCGTAGGAATCGCCGTTTCATGGACGAGCGCGCTCCCGAGCTGTTGCGAGGGGCTATCGGATCGGGGCCGCGCGCGCAAGGCAGTCGAGGCTGCCGATGATCATCATCACCACAGAGGCGTCACGTCACGGATCCGCAGCGAGCGACAGAGATGCTGAGGTGACAGGCAGAAGGAGAAAAGGGACGATCATCGCTCGGACATATTCACCCTCCGCTCCGTCGCTTCCAGTCGCCTCCTGCCGCTCCTCCTCCTCCTCCTCCTCCTACGCCGCCGCCGCCTCCCGACGCCCCGCTATGGGATTCCGCTCCGTGTCGTCCCCGCCGTAGAGGATTTTTTTTTTTCTAACCACACCCGGCTCTTCTCTGGATCGAGGATCGGCAAGCACAGACCAGAGGTAAGGATCCAGAATCCGGAGGTGGAGGGAAGGGGAGGGTCGGGGCCGTTAGCGGTGCCGTGTTTAGCCCCTTTAACCACCGCTGTAAACCGGCCCTGGTTGCCGCCTGCAGCTGCGTGCTTGTTATCCTGTCAGAGCTGCTTACCAGGATGAGCTTTTTTGCGTGGCCTGTGGACGGCCAATGTGCGTGGACGCGCCTGAGTAAATCTGCTGTGGCAACCAACTCGCTATGCAACAGCTCTCCACAGCAAAGCCGGTCGGTGCGATGCAGGGGAGGACTGGTTCAGAATAGACATTATTAGGAGATTTGCTTGCAGCTGGCTATGTGTCACATCCCACTAGTTTACATTGTTGTGACTTTAAACACACCAAACGTGGCTCTGTAGGTGAATGCATCCTCTGCACATACCAGTAAACACCTCCAGGCCTCACATCCTGCACTGCCCTCCTCAAGATTCAACAGATTTTGTTTGCTCATGCAGTGGAGATGCAAGGCTGTGCAATAACAACAAGACATGATAAGAATGGAAGCATTTAAATCTAATGAGGAGGAGGGAGAGGTTGTTAAGCTGAAGTCCATGTTGTGCAGGGCCTCTCCATGCTGGCTCCTCTCCAGCTTCCTCACAGATTTCAGAAGTCTGCTCCGTCCTGCCACTAAACCAGCTCACACAGGACAGAACATTGAAGTTTTTCACCGCGGCCATGTGTTCATGCATGCACAGCAGGCTTTCAGGGTCACGGCTCATGTGCTTTCCTGGGAATAATTACCATGAAGTCATCCTCAGGATTTATTGTGAAGGAGAAAATCCTCACTCGTTGACATTTTAGGATGCTCTGTGTGTATAGATATCTGTATATATATATATATATATATATATGTCTATATCTATATATATGTATGCAGGGCTGAGTGGACGGCTGTGACCCAGCATCTTTCCTGTTCTTTTGGCACACATGGGTTGTTTTTGTGGGTTAATAAAAGGTACTAGATGGCGTCTACCTATCCAAACTTCTGACCTGAGAGC